GGTGTGTGTGTGGAGGTACACGTGTGTTATGTATGTGGGTAGGCGTATGTACGTGTGTACACGTACGCACGGGCACGCACACGCGTGTTTGTGTGTGCATGGGACGGCCCCCGGGAGGTGCCCGTTAATCCCCGGCCCCCTATTCTCCCTCCCGCAGAGCTGAGAGGACGAGCAGGCTAGCGGGCAGGCGGAGACATGGCGACGGGCGCGGACGTGCGGGACATCCTGGAGCTGGGCGGTGTGGAGTCGGAGAACACGGGCACCATCAACAAAAAGGATATCATCAACTCGGATAAGGTGAACTGCGATGCCCTGAGGGCCCGCGGCTTGTTTTCTAGGCACTGACTGGCGTGAATACTGGAGGGAAAGAAGATAGAATAAAGCCTGTTCCTACCGTAGTCTGTTAATTTTGGGGCTCCTGGGGAGTACCTGGAAATGCCTGCAGGGCCCCACTTCTCAGTTCCTGGTGTTATTAGTTAAATGCAGTGTGGCATCTGGGGTAATGTTTAAGCTGGAGCTGTGTAAGTGGTATCCCAGTGAGCTGGGCTTAACCCCAGGACACTTTCAGCTGTCTCTAAAATTCCGGTTTTGTGCAGTAAACGTGAAGCTTGTCTAGCCCCTAAGTAGATGGGAATGATATAACGGAGTCCTGGTTTAGATGTTAAAAACATTGCCTGACTTGATTGAACGATGAATGTCTTCAAGCAGTGGGAGCAGTCCGTGTGCAGGGAGGGTGCATGACTGGGATTTGGGAGAACTGGGATGTGTTTCCTGTTGGAACATGGGTGGGTTGGTGAGCCCTGTTAAGGCCGTATGTCGTGTGCTCCCCTCTGTGCAGTATTATGCCTTCGTATGTTATTGCCTTCTGCATTTTAAAATTGGACAAGGTCTTGACTGCCCCATGCTTTGCAAGGTGTTGGGAAGGTTAATTCACAAGTAGTTATGAGATGTGGAGGTGCCAGAAACAAGCCAGAGGAGATGAAATCATAGAATCATTTAGGCTGGAAAACACCTTTAAGGTCGAGTCCAACCGTTACCCTAGCACTGCCAGGTCACCACTAAACTGTGTCCCTCAATACCACACCTACATGGCTTTTAAATTCCTCCAGGGATGGTGACTCCAACTGTTCCTTGGGCAGCCTATTCCAGGGCTTGATAAAACCTTTCCATGAAGAAATTTTTCCTCATATCCAACCGAAACCTACCCTTGGCACAGCTTGAGGCCATTTCCTCTTGTCCTATCACTTCTTCCTTGGGAGAGGAGCCCAACCCAGACCTGGCTCAAACTGCCTCTCAAGGAGTTGTCAAGAGCAAGAAGGTCTCCTCTGAGCCTTCTTATGCTCTCTGGGACAACCCCAAGTCCCTCAGCTACTCCACACAAGACTTGATAGAATCAAATCCCCAGGAGCTCTCTGGTACAGAGATGGTATGATCTGAAGCAAAGACTCTGTATTTGTTTGGAAGCAAAAGAAACTCAAACATACACAACGATCTCATCCCTGAAAGTACTTCCTGTCTGTCTTTGCTTCCACTGAAAGGTTTATATCTGAAGAGAAGCACATTAGTTTCACAACTGCCCTGCTCAGGATAGGACACATAGGATAATTGGTGCAATGGAAAAGTGATGAGTTTCAATAACTTAAAGGCTGAAATGTTGAAGTCGCCAGTTATGAGCTGTGTTGGTGAATAGTATGTCTAGTGAGCAACTCGTGGGCTGGAGTCAGCCTCTGCTGTTGTGCCACTGAGTGTCCCGAGTTGTAGGGTCTCTGATTTGGATGCCTTTGGCTGTTAGGTGGCAGAGAGCTGTGAGAGTACTGGTGGCTGGCTGTCTCTCTTTTGGGGCAGAGAGTGAGTTCCCCTCAAGTTCACTGTAGTGGAAAGCAAGAGGAAGGGAAGGTGTAGTGAGAGGTTTTGGGAGGAGTGCAGAAAGCCACTTGAGGAGTGCAGAAGGCCACTTATGGCTGTGAGTGAAACAGAATTTTTACAAAGCACAGAAACTAAACCAAACCAAAGGAATGAACCATTATTGCATGGAGAGAGCAAAATCACAACAACACGACACTTGCTCAGGCAGTAGATCTGTTCTCAATTAGGAGAGAAACATGTTGATGTCTTTAAATCATGAGAGAACCATGAGGTACTTTTCAGTCCATTAGTGACTGAGAGTGTTATAACAAAAATTACTAGGCATAAAAACATTTAAATCAGCAGGAGCGAATAAGTTGTTCTCAGCTCCTGTAAGAGCTGCCTGAGCTGATCTCTGGCCTGCTGGTATTAACTTAAAATAAATCTGGGAAACTTGGGGGAATTCCAGAAGCCTATGTTCAAGCAGGACATGTGGTGACCCACAGGTAACTGCCCCCGTTGGCCTTGCATCATTCCTGGGCAGAGTGATGGATGTGCTAGGAGAAAGGTGTTTGATTAGGAGTGAAAAGGTGCTAATATAATGAATGTCTGTCATGAAGTTTTATGGGAAGCCATTGTAGTCCAAATGGATAGCTTATTATTTTTTTAATGGGATTTTGAATTTGCTTGATAAAGGTGACAATGGATTTAATACAATTTATGATACAGTGTTAATTTTACTACTGTTAAATATTCTGATTTAAGAATTGGTCATGATCTGGTAAACAAGTACTTAGAAGCAGTGACGTGGCTAGCAGTTAGAAAGCTGGTACAGTTAAACCAAGTGCTGTGGACTCCTGGGGAAACTTGGCTCACTTCAATATCATGTACATGGTTAATGTGGAAGTTACTGTATCCACTTGAATCCAAAGATGGTTACTTTATAAACTTGTATATATGGTACCAGGTGGACTGTGTCTTAGAAACCATCTGTTTTGGCAAGGTTTTAGAGGCCAGATTGTCATCTGTGCTAAATTCCCAGTATGAAAAAAATATGTAAAAAAAAAAATAAATCTGTTGCTGTATAAAGAGGCTAGTGGAGGCAGGAAGAGGAGTTTACTTTTTTAGGTGATACTGGTAGTTTTGACATGAGGCTATTGCAAGGGCTTGGCCAGAACTGGGAAAAACTGAAGTTGCTGCAGAGCAAAGTGACAAAAACTAAGAGAGGGTGGGAAGACATTTCTTATTATCTTCTGAAACGGGTAGAGAATCACTTAATTAGATGCATTAATACCTTCATGTGAGGACAGTGCTTACCTGGTGAAAAAAAGCTTCATGCACCAGCCCCTGGAAACTACAGCCAGATGTTCAACTTGGAATTTGTTTGTTATCAGTGACAACAAGTGCTGCTATCACTGAAAACGGGCATGTTCTGTCTGTCAGCGTCTTCCACCAGGAACAGGCACTTTTCTGAAGAAATTCAAGGTGTCTGAAAGCAGATAAAAGTGAAAAACTTGGCAGGCTGCCAGGTTATGTAGTTTAACGTTCCCTCAGGGATTGCTGCTTCTGAATCTAAAATGCAATTTTTTTTTATTTCAGAAAAAGTCCAAGAAATCTTCAGAGACGCTGACGTTTAAGAGGCCGGAAGGAATGCACCGAGAAGTTTATGCACTCCTTTACTCTGACAAAAAGTAAGAGCTTGTGGTTGTCTATCTGTGCATGTTGTGGGGTAGCCTGAACTCTTGGTGGTGACAGGGTGGCATCCTCGTGAAACCATGGAAAGTCTTACTTCCCAGATTGATTCCCCTTTGTGCTTGTGCCCTTCTCTCAAACAGTCAGACAGTATCTGTCTTCTCTCTTCTGAATTTGAGGGGCTTGTTCTCTGTAGGAGATGGATTAGGAACGTGCACAATAGTCTTGTGCAGCCAAGGCAGTGTTCTTGCCCTTCTGTATCTAATCATCTGGTATTTGTAGCTGGGAATAGCACTTGCTTTTATTTCTGGAAAAGAGAGTTCTGCTGCAGCCTATATTTAGCTTGTTATGGATCATGCCCTCGCCTCAGAGGTCTCTTGCATAGTTTGCTTTCCAGATGGTTCTGTTCAAATCCATCCGTGCTGTGTATTCTGTCCTCTGATGCGGGAAACAGTTGCAAAAGTTAGAAAGTGCCAGACCTGGAATGAAGCTTCAGTTTGGGTTTTCCCCACTAAATGCTGTGGTGGCTGATCCCGCTCCGAGTCTGAAATCTCCTTGAGTTTGTCCTCGGCGGCTGCTTGTGTCTCATCAGCCAGTGCTTTTCTCCCCCACAGGGATGCGCCTCCGCTGCTGCCAAGTGATACAACTCAGGGTTACCGAACAGTCAAAGCAAAGCTGGGGTCCAAGAAGGTCCGGCCTTGGAAGTGGATGCCTTTCACCAACCCAGCGAGAAAAGATGGAGCCATGTTCTACCACTGGAGGAGGGCAGCAGAGGAAGGGAAGGACTACCCTTTTGCCAGGTTCAATAAAGTAAGTGGGAGCACTTTCAAACAAAGCATATGAACAGCAGCTGGAAAATACCCTTCGGTCAGCTTGTTGAATGGCCAGGCAGGGAGTTGGTTCTTTCACCAAGTGAAGGCTGGGATTTGGCAATTGCATTTTAAATTGCAGCGTGGCCTGCAGCCGTGTGACCTCAGACTATGCTGTCTCCAAATGGTTCAAGCTGAGTGGGCTCAGTATGTGGTCAGAGCTTGCTAGAGCCTCCCTGCATTCCAGGGGTGCAGTCATTGATTTGGTAAGGAGGCACTCTGCCTTCTGGTTCTGTGCCTAACCAACATCCTCCCCCTGATTACAGGCTCTGGGCGGTAAAAGATACTCTATTCTGACCAAGACATTACAGTCATAAGTCTTTTTATTTTACCCAGTATGAAAAAAATCGCTTGAGCTTTGTGGCTAAAAGCTGGCTTGTGGCCTCTTGGCCAGATTCCAGCACAGATGCTGAATTACCTCGTGTTCCCTCTGAAATTGCTCCTGTGGTATCAGTGTGGTGCAGTACCCTGTTCTTTACATCTTACGTGTAATCGTCACAATGTGTTGTTGTAATCTTCTGCTGTCTTTTGTCCCAGATGTATCTGCTTTGAGTGGTTGGGGCTTTCATGTGTATGCACAAAGAAAACTACATCAAGATTTATACTTCAAAGTCAGGATCTCCAGAGTTATGAAGGAGCAGAGTTAGGGTGCCTCCATAATGTAATTTAACCCCCTTCATGGTGCAAATCTGAAGGGGAAAAAAAAAGTGAGTGCTAACACGATTCCTCAAAAGCTCTGCTTGCCTATAACTGTGTACAACATTTTAAGTTTGTAACCCACAGAGCGTCAGCTCTAACAAAGCCTGGCTTCCTGCAGAGTTAAGTGGCTGGTTGACCTTACATGTTAGAAGGCTGAAGTTCTGACTGGTGCTTTTCCTCTTGCTGGGACATTGGTAAGAGCCTCCTGTGGTATCTCTTCTCTGATGTCTAGGGTGGAAGTCTGAAGCATGACTTGCTTAGCCAAGGCACCTACCTAGCTGTCTCCAAGACTCTGCTGCTGTAACAGTTTTTGTCTGACTTCAACCAAGTTTATCAGAGGGGGCCACACATGGGTGTTGTAATTATATGATTCTCGTTTCCTTAACGTTATCATGTACTGTGAGACAGGAGAGCCTTCAAGCAAGGCTGCAACCTTTAGATTAGCAGTTCAGGCCTCTATCATCTCCATGTGCACAATTGCATAGTATTAGGAGCAAGTTGCTACCCTTGTGAATCTGTGGTTGGGAGGGTAGAAGGCACTGCTGAGGAGTTTTGCAGATACTTGCTATGTCAGAGGAATTTTATTTACTTTTCCAGATTCCTCTGAGGCTTCCTTCTCACACACTTGATACCTGTGCCGAAATCTCTGGCTGACCTTGGCGTGAGCCTGTTTTCCTGTGTGGTCTGTCCTGTTAGTTGCTCAGCCTCTATAGCACAGCTTCTGTGTCACTGCTCAGTTGGTTTGCCTTTTCTCTATGCTGCCAGTTTCTAAACCAAATCCCTCTTCTTCACTTTGAGATACAGAATGTAAATGTGGATTTCGCAGTGTAGGTTGAGCCTGGACCCAGGGTGTGGAATGGAAACATAGAAGCAGCTTCACTGGCCAAAGAAGCAAAGCCCTCTCTCAGCTGATACTCTGTTTCTGGCTACTGTTAGTAAAGGCTTAGAGAAAGAGCAGAACGGAACCAATATAGAGCATTTGTTTCTTAGCTTCCTAGGGAACACCAGGGCGATCTTTGACTTAAGGATTTCTTAGCTTGGAATTTGTCTACTAATTCTTGCTAGGTATGTTGAGGGCAGAAAGTGTCTTTGTGAATGTCCCATGGTGACAAGTTCTTCAGGGTAATTTCTTATGGTGTGCAGAGGTGCTGTCTCCCATTTAAACTGCTGCCTTGGGGTTTCATTTGGTGCTGCTGAGATCTTGTGATACGTGATGTAGTAAGTTGTCCTTGCTGCCTACTGTGTTTTCCATAATTTGACATACATCTGCTCTTCTGTGCCCTGTTGCACCCTTGTTGTTCTCAAATATACTTTCTTTTGAACTGGTGGACTAGAAGCAAGCTTTTCACTTACAGAAGCATTTTGAGTTTGTACTTTGGCTGTTTTTCTTGATCTCTTTGATAATTTTTACTGTTCAGTTTGTCTCTTCACCACTACTAGGCATTGTGCTGTTGTTTTCTCAGAACTGTCTCATGGCTCCAGGATCTTTCCTGAGCAGTTTCAGCTAATTTAATGCCCATCATTGTGTGAGTTTATGGTGTGAAATGTAGGACTGAGAGGAGTTTTCTGGGCCATTGAATCCTCTTATTGGCTTTTTCAGGTCCTGTGCTGTCCAGTCCCTTTCATAAACTGATCAAGTTCCTTTTGAAAAGCACTTGGATTTTCCTGCCACTGTGCTTCCTTGGAAGCTGTTCCAGACTGTCTCTGCTCCATTTCTCATTTCCAGGTTAAATTTTCCATGTTAAACTGGCATTTCTTTGCAAGCCAGTTTCTTTTTCCTTATTTCAGTTGTTCTTTTCTTCCTGTGGGTATTCCTTTCATTCCATCTAGCATACTTGAAGCCTGCAGTCAGAGTCCCTTTCAGACTTCCTTTGCTAGGCTCCTTTCTTTTCCAGTCTGCTGTGGGAAGACAAGCTCCCCACCCCATTACTCATCCTCATTTCTCTCCTCTTCTCTGTATGTGTTCCTATTTCAGTTCATCTTTCCTGAACAGGGGTCAGTAGAGTTGTAGTTGGCATTCCTGCCAGGGTCTTGTTGTGTAACTGAAATGCAGCTAGTTTCTGCTGGAAACCCCTCTTTGGGGCTCATAATTGCATTTTCATGGCTACTTTACGTTTGAACTTAGTCGTCCTGTGGTTGGCTCAAGCTTTTAATTTGTTACATTCCCAGTTTCCCATTTACCAGCAGTTCTCAACCTGAGCAGCCATGAGTGGGGGCTGAGGAAGTGTTTTGGGGACTGCTCTTTGCTCTTGTTCCATTCCCTTCTCTGGTCAGGCATCTGCCACCTTCCCTTCCATCCACTGGAGAGAGCCCTGCTGGCCCTTTTCATGTATGTATGCCTCTCTGGAAAATGTTTTTTTTTTTCATGATGTAAAAAATCTTGTAATCCTTAAGTATCTAGTAGGATGGCTTTTTTCCTGCTGCAAGTGGTACTTGAAGGTTGACATGCAGTGTGTCCCCAAGAGAGATACTTCACCTTTAATCTTCTTAAGTGATGGAAGAAGGGCAGTAGACCTGAAGAGACTGTTATTTGGAGGCTCAGAAATGCTGCTCTGAGCTGAATGGAGTTCATGAGGGTGACTTTCCTGGCATAGGACATAGGAGAGCATAGAGCTGTTGAGGAGTATGTGCTGCTCCAGTGCACACTGTGTTTTCTTGTGGAGGCAGAGCAAAGTTCCACTATAGGAGTGGTGGGAGGATGCGAGGGAGGAAAGCACAGGCTTGTTTGCCCTTTTGCTTTACCATGTGCTAAGACTTCCCCTAATACATTAAGTGTTTTTTAGTATTCATGTGACACTTTTGTTCTGGAGAGAGCCCTTGAAAAGCAGTTCCAGGCTGGAGACAGTGGTGTGGATTTGGCCTTTTAGGCACCTGAGAGTTGGACTTGCTTGGCTTTGTGGCCATGCTGGACAAAAGGTGGGTGAGGAGGGGAGGGACAAAGTTGTTAGCCAAGTTTATGGCTCTCAGTTGTACAGCACACAGCCTTTCAGATCCTCATGGCGCTGTGTGCAGCAACCGTGAAAGAGGTAGGCTGTGTATCAAAGCAGGAGGTGTGCTTTCCCCTTCTTCCTGTACAAGTGAGCGCCTCCCAACCCAAGTAAAGACTCGACTGTCAGACCAGTTTAGGCCAAGGTGTTGGTGCTGCTGTAAGGGAGGAATGCAGGAAGGCTGGCCGAACCTTGGTTTCCCTGTCACGTTAGCCTGATAATTTTGAAACCTGTAATCAGGATGTGGGTTGGTGACCTCTTGCCTGTGTTAGGCACCTGAAATAGGTTTTGCCTCCCCAAGGAGTAGTTCCTGGTAGGCTCCGAAGAATGTCACGTTTGCACCCCTGAGGTCACATTTTGTTCCTCATGAAGTCCTCTGCCTGCTTGTCACATGTCCTCCTAGGACCCATCGCTCAAGGTCCTGGCAGCCCCCTCCTGTCACTCTCCTGCTCTTGCTCTCTGCTCAAGTACCTTGGCCCTCGTCGGCTGGCAGTGAGAAGGGCAGTGCTGCACGAGAGCTAACACGTGTCTCTTGTCTCTGCCTAGACGGTGCAGGTGCCCGTCTACTCGGAGCAGGAGTACCAGATGTATCTCCACGACGACGCGTGGACCAAAGCTGAGACAGACCATCTCTTTGACCTGGCTCGGCGCTTCGATCTCCGCTTTGTGGTGATTCATGACCGCTACGACCACCAGCAGTTCAAGGTGAGTCCCGGGGGCCAAGGTGCTGCCAGCAACCTGCTGCCATGGCATGTGCGGGGCTTGCTGTGCTGCCAAGACCAAATTACCCTTTATATCAACTTAATTAGGGGAAAATAATGAATTATTGGCAGCAAGGAATATTGAATTTTCAGCACAGGGCATTGCTGCTTGCTTTGTTTGTAATTAAATCCACTGTGACTTGTGCTTGTTCCCTGTTGTGTTTTATTAGGAAGTCAGAAGGTTTGCCCCTGCCAGGAGAACAGCTCATTGTTCCTTGATGATAAGGCAGCTGGGGAGTTTATTTAGCTGAGTAGGATAGTCGTCCTGGATTCCAGTCTAGGCCCAGGGAGAAGGATCTGCTAACGGTCCCTGGGGATTGGGATTTTTCCCTGGTTGCTGCTCCTGACTTGTGGTCTGACCTGGCACAAGTTTCTGTCATCTTTCTGTGAAGCAGGGACCATCAGTGGTCTGAAGATGCAACTCTGGTGTCATGATCTTAAATCCTCTGTAAGTGCTGGTTCCATGCCTCCTGGTGAGAAGGGGGAATGATGTGACTCCTACAGAATAGCTCCAAATGCTGGAGCTTTTTGTTGCCTTCTGAAATGCTCACATTAAATGCCTTTAGCAAGGTAAAATAACAAAATCTGCCCAGCTGGGCAGCCCAAGCACCGGTGGTACTTGGAGTAAGGGAATACAGCTCAGGCTGGTGTAACAATGGGCAATGAATTGTTGTGGCTGATAGCTTCTTGGTTAGGGCTTGAATGGCCGTTGTCTGGAGCAGCTCAGAGGAGGCTTCCTGTGCATTTGTCATATTTTCCTGTTCGCAGGTTTTCTCCTCTTGAGAAAACTACTCCTGTATCCTTTTATCTGGGAGCGCTTCACTGTTGTGTTGTCTCTAACCCTTGGCTGTATTGTTTGACTCTTTGGTGGGTGTTTTTAAGCAGTAGCTGTGAACCCGTGACAGTAAATTCACATGGTTCACTGAGAAATTCCCCTTCGCTGTGGCTCCACCAGGACAGGCAAGGCTCCCTGCTGATCTTCCTCCCAGGCACTGACTTACACCCTGTCTGATGGTGTCCTTCAGCCAGTGGTCTTTTGCTGGCTACTACACAAGGCTTTGCTTGATTATTCCCTAATGTTGTCCTCCTGTGATGTTTTCCACAGAAAAGATCTGTGGAAGACCTGAAGGAACGATACTACCACATCTGTGCAAAGCTGGCTAATATCCGTGCAGCTCCGGGCACAGACCTGAAAATCCCAGTCTTCGATGCTGGCCATGAGAGGCGAAGGAAGGAGCAGCTGGAAAGGCTGTACAATAGGACACCAGAGCAGGTAGCCTGGGGAAGAGAGCATCACTGCTCCAAAAGGTTTCTGATAATCAGAATCCGTAGGTGGGTGAAATAGACTAGAGGGCAGGAAAGGGAAATAAAGAGTGGACAAGGAAAGAGCAACACCTAAGCAGTGCTTTTGTTTTTGAGCTCCTGGCATTTTAAGGGATGCAAAAGTTCAGTAACTGAGAAGTCTGACTCTACAGGAGGGAGAGGTAGGTGAGCAGAGTTGTGGGCTCTGCTAACTGCCAGCGCCACCTCTGTGACACTTCTACTGTACTAGTCCTCTGAATAGGAGCAGATTCTTAGATCAATGTCCTTGTGAATCCCCGAATGCCATGGGGAGAGAATTATCTCCTTGAGAGTAAAAATCTTGTCAGAAAACATCAAAGACTGTAAGTCAGCATGTTCAGTTCTCCTCTTTGTTGAAGCTGTGTAACAGTCTTGGTGTTTAGGGGTTAAGGAGCTTTGTGTTCCCCAAAGGCTGGGTGAGACCATCCTTTTGTAGCTAGGGTTTATTTGGGCTTTTTTTAGCCCTCTCTCTGTGCCTTTGGCCTCTTTGTCTGGAGGTGGGCTGCTGAAGGGTGCATCATGGATGTTGTGATACATACCTGTCAGTCTGTAGATTGGCATTGCTATGGATGCGGGGTATGGCTGTGGAGCATAACGTGCTCTGCAAATCCAAGATGTTAGGCAGGGGAGCTTAAAGTCGTTCCCAGGCTGGCCCAGAGCAGAGCTGGTATCGGTAGATGGCCCCCTTGCCATGCTAGGCCTCCTCTGCTGCTCTGATTGCCTTTCCGTGCTCTGGTCTGCAGGTGGCAGAAGAAGAATACCTCATCCAGGAGCTCCGCAAAATCGAAACCAGGAAGAAAGAGAGAGAAAAGAGAACCCAAGACCTGCAGAAACTCATCACAGCTGCTGACACCACCACTGAGCAGAGACGTGCCGAGCGCAAGGCTCCCAAGAAGAAGCTGCCACAGAAGAAGGAGACAGAGAAGCCTGTAAACATTTCTCCTTTTATTTCGTCTCCCCCTTTCACCTGCTTATGCTGTGGCTGGGTAACATGTTTCCTTCAGCAATCCTACTGGGATCAGGCCCTTGGCTCTTCTGCAGGGAGTAACTGCTGGCTGCCTTCTGGCAGATGCTTTTTCGATTACGTCTTTTGGAAGGCAGATTGGTCTAAGGCAGCCATTGCCAGAGTCCTCTAATGTGTTCTCTGTCTCTCACCCATTTGAAAAATGCTGGTTTAGTCCAATTTCCCTTTTCCTTCCTGAGAAATGGGAAGAAATTATGCCAGCAATTCATGCATCGGGGCAGGGAGAAGCATCGGTCTTCCTGCTTCTCCCACATGTATTCTGGTACTGCTGTGCAGGGCTGTCCCACAAACCTGGTCTTTTACCTGCCTTCTTTTTCTAGTCCAGGTTTCCCTTTCCTTCCTGGGTCTCAGTAGCATCTCCCAAGGCTCAGTCCATGCCCTTCTTCTGTTTCTCATCTGTGATCAGAGCAGCCTTGCTGAGGGATTCTTGTGTGCTGGGAGCTATTGGTTCTTATTCCTCCCTGAGTTGAGATAAAGTCTATGAGCCCAGAACACAGGTTTCAATTCACATTTGAAGTTGCCTCAATTTCTCTTTGTGGAAAGAGGACAGTATGGACTGAACTAAATTTAGCACCTTCAGTAGGAAAGGGCTGCTACAAAATCTCAGATGTTTCTAGTGGGTCTCTGGGAATTCCTGTTCCTCCACCTTGTGAACAGAGAGCACTTGTGTCATTGTCCTCTAAAAGGGTCTGTGCAAGGACAGAAGAGAAGCAGTGAATGCTAGACAGATTTTGCTTGATGAAGCGTGCCTAACGGCCACTGCCTCCTTAAAAACATTGTTTTGATTCCCCCTCTGTCCCTCTATATAATTAATACATTATCACTGGGCACCTTGTGCGTTGAGTTTCCTTGAGGACTGAGCTGGTAATGCTCAACCGTGGCTGGCATGTCTCCTCCTAAAGAAAGCAACTGGTCATTGGTCGTAATGGGAAAAAAAGGGTGATGATGGAGAATGGGGCAGGGAAGGTAGTGAGGATGCCAAGGTGAGGGAGTCTGGCCCTAAATATTGCCTGTTGACTGATGCCTGTCTGCAGGCATATAGTGGATAGGGACGCCAGGGTGGGCAGAGAAGCAGTTTCTGTTGTTGCACTAGCATCATTTCAACCATGACAGAGTCCATTAGGAGTCAATTACCAACTATAGCTGTGAAATGTTAAGAAAAAAATTGCATTTTAACTAAGAATTTGAATCGGGAGCTGCATCAGCATCATTTCAACAAAGGAAAATCATTTACCAAAGAGTCAATTGAGGTTGAAGCGTTTACAGCATGTACAGGCACGCAAGGCAGAAGAACCCATTTAATTGCTTATGCACTGAGTTCAGCCAGGTTGTCTCAGCTAAGCCAATGATGCTGTTTTACCCTCACTGCTTGTGGCAAGGTGTTCAGCAACAGGCTGGGGCGCAGAGTTTGGGGACTCAGAAAGGCAGCCTTCACCCAAAGGAAGCTGAGAGGATTGGTTTGTGATGGCAGCTGCCTTTGTCCCTAATAATCCGAGCAGGGAGGCTACATCCTACCAAAGATCAAAGTGATCCCTACATGTTGGTGAGCCCTATTGGTGGGTAGAGAAGACTATTTCCACCATGGTTGTGTTTAGAAATCTGTTCCTGGGGCCTCTATTTATTAGGCTGACTGCAGATAACTGGAAAAAATCTTAATTCCTGACCATGCAGAGTGGTTTGTAAGGTGCTAACTCAAGTCCAAGACATAAGGACAGCTGACAGGGATGTGAGACTCATTTGCAGGGAGCTTGAGTTACTGTCCTTCAGTATCTTTTATAATCTTGGGACAGCCCTGGTTGTCCCAGCCCTGTCTGTTATAAGCAAGGAGCGAGCTGCAGAGACTCTCTCCAGAAAAAATGTGGGAGCAGGAAGGCAAATACTGTCCCCAAAGAAATCGGGAGATCTGAGGTGACTCCTTTTTGGAAAAGTGTGATTGAGCATGCATTTTGGCAGAGATTTTTGGCAGAGATTGTGGCTATTCTTGGATTGCTGACCCATTCAGGAGACCCTACGCCATTCAGTGCGCAGGGCCCTGCAGATAGCACAGCTTAATCATTTAAAAGTTTGCTCACCTTGTGCTTTGCTCAGCAGCACAGATTTTTGAGGGATTGAATTTTTTTTTTTTTTTTTTCATTTTGTTGAAAAGCAACTAAAAGTTCTGGTGTCTGGCAGCAGCAGCATTAGGATTGTGCCACCTTGTATTTCTATGCTTAAAATGTGAAGTGGGGAAGAAAGAAAACTGTCTAACGAGTGGAAAAATGACAAAACGTGTATCAACAGCAGGCCCCCCTGGAGGGGTGCAGTCCTCACGTCCTCATTAGTGGGCTCATGTCTGTACAGATCAGAGGTTTCTCAGCTCATTCCTTAGAGGACTTGTAGTCAAAAGCCAAGATTTAGGGAAGTCTTGGGCTGTTTTGATCAGTGAAATAAGGATGATATTGTGCAAATACACACATGTTCGTCTAGGGAGTGCCATTTAGGGTTAGGGTTTATGTTTGTGTGGACGGGTGTCAGGCTTTGCATAGAGACAAATTAAAACGCTTGAGCTCTCCAAAGATACCTTGGAGTGGAGTATTTTTCTCAGTGCATTGCTTGGGATTTTCCCACTGAATCCCATTGCTTGGGATTTTCCTCTTGCCTCAGCTCTGACATGTGGCCTGGCAGGTGGTTCTCTGTCATAGGAAACAGTGTTTCCCCTTCAGATAGTCTCTGTATGAAATCTGGTGTTTCTTGTGTTTCCTCCATCAACACATCCTGTTTCGATCTCTTTCAGGCTGTTCCTGAGACTGCTGGCATCAAGTTTCCTGACTTCAAATCTGCAGGTGTCACGCTGCGAAGCCAGAGGGTAGGCTCTTGTCCTGGTCCCTTGGGACCTCTGCTAATGTCTTTCAGTCTGCCTGTCTGTCTCCTCATCTGTACTCCTTTTATAGCTAAAGTAAGTCAAGTTCTCACCTCTAAAATAAGAAAGGAATTCCATAAATGCAGAGACTCAGAAACCTGGAATGTTGGTGCTGTGAAGCCAGCTCATTGCTTTGCAGGGGCACCTGAGCTTGCTGGTGTTTGTTACTGGTGTTTCTGCTCTGCTTTTAGACACGTGACAGACCCAAATGGAGCTGTCTAATCCAAACAGCTCCCAGCCAAGCGTCACAGGCCTCATAGAGCACGTGTGTTAACAGATGAGCCTTTAAGAAGTGAATGTTCATGTTGTACCTTGAAAAAGAGACACATAAACATAGCTTTTAGCCTTGCTATTTCCATTATTTTCAGAAAATATTTTTGGGAAAAGCCCCTTTGTTCATTCTGTTGCACAGATATTCCTGAGAAAAGAACATGCTGTTTTATCAGCAGGACTTGATGCCTGTCTCATAGCAACAGGTTTTAAGATAGAGAGTAAGTTAAACCTGCCTGGCTGATTGTTTTCAGAGAGCTTTTGATGGCAAAATCCTGTTTGCCCAACGCAAGTGTGTGGTGTTTTTTTTTTTTCCTTTTTTTTTTTTTTTTTCCCTAGCCAAATAAAATAGTCCTTAGTTGCTTTATTGTGGCAAAGGTGGAGAAGGAGGTTCCTTGCCCGGCACTGTCACTTGGTGTAGTCATTTTCTAGGTCACTTTTAAAGACTATTTTATGGGATGTTCTTTTGATGTCAGAATAGTTTCAGATCTTGCTGGGAACACCCTGGGACTGTTAATATAAATGAGTTTGTGATCATGCTGCTTTGCCATCTGGGTGCGTGTGCACATACAGGCAGTATGCCTCAGCAACGTCACTGCTGGGGGACGCCTTTAGTGTATGAGTGCCACCATCTGCAGGCTACCTGAGTAAGGGGCTACAGCCCAGAGCATGTCACAGGCAAGTGACAGGCAAGACTGCAGTGCATATGTTGAGATGACGGAGATGTGGCAGATGTGTTCTCTGGCACTGAGATAGATAGATAGATTAATTTATAGAGATTGATTGGGATTTTGAAAAGTAGTAAGGGATGATTGATCTTTTCTGGTTTTTTTATGCTCTGTCAAAGAGAAGCTGAGAAATAATCTATCGGTGATGGAAGCATCTGGCAAAGCCAGAAGCCTTTTTGTGTGCCAAACATGCAATTCAAATCCCAGTCTTTGTGAAAATGGGAGGCTACGTGCTTCTCCCCTTTTTCTGTAGTGCCTGGAAAATGCGGTGATGAGCTGAGGCATGGCAGTCTGATTCAGCAACTTTCAGCCTACAGTATCCAAGCTTCTGTGATGACCTAGAGCAACTTGAAATTTTAAGGAGATAAATGCTTTTATTAGAAGTACCAGTGGTTTGTGAATTGAAAAAGATTGCAAACTACCTATCTAGGTGAAAAAAACAACACTTTATTTCTTGAAATTGTGAAACCTGCCTCCAACCCAGCAAAATGAATTCATTTGTGGCTTTAGCCAGTCGCCTGGCTTCCTTATGCAAATCTTCCCTGTATTTAAAATGGGAGCTAATAGACTCACTGCTTCACATAAGGGTGATGGGGACCATTAATTACATGAGGTCAGTATAGGCCTTTTGAACTGGTAGGAGATGTGAAAGCGCTAAGTGGTATAAAATTGACAATCCATGCTAATTAAAATTATTTTACTTGGTGGGATTTATGTGGCAAACCCTCTACACACTGGTGGTGCAAAGTTGAGAAGAGTGGGAGCCGACTAGGACCAAGTGAGGAGCTGGGATTCTGTGCTGGAAGCTTGTACTCTGGCAACATCCAGTGTAAGATGTTTTGCCCTGAGCCTATTGGTAAATGATTTCTACAGGCCTTCTGCATCCTACAGTAAGGTTTTTTGCTCAAGGACCTAAAGGATTCGTCACCTAAAGGCTTCTAATATCCTCCTTTATTTTGTACTTTGCTACTGTGCTTTATGCCTTCGTAGTTAGGTGAAGTTGGATTTTGCACTGAGATGAGGAACTCAACCTCTGTCACGTGTGAAAAATGTACCATATCATCCCCAGGATAATAGCAATTATTCTTTGATTAGAGCTATTATTTTTTTTCCCCCTGAGGATTTACAATTAGTCTGAAAACTTGAGTTAAGATTAATTTCTAGAAATGAGTCCTTGAAGAAAAAGTTAGCAATCTGTATTCAACTTAATTTGTTCCCAGTAGTTTTTGTGACAACAGCCCTGGCTTTTCAAATTCCTCCTGTTGTTGAAGCTTACAAAATCTTATGCACAGACTGAATTTGAAGACTTTTTTTCCCCCCTCTAGGATTAATGGTCATTTATGGCCATTATTCTTCATAACCGAAAGTTTCTCCTTCAGTAGACGCTGAAGAGTAATCTTCTCCAGCAAGTGAGACGAGCTGCCTTCTATCACAATGCCTTCAGCCTCCCATTGTTCTCCATGGGATTGTGGCCACAGGTGCAGAAGGCCACAGCCCCCGTGCCCTTGCTCTGTGTGGGATTTCCACTCTGCCTCTCAGCAGTACAGGCTGCAGGTTTCTCTGAGGCAGTAGGAAGCTGGGCAATATGAAAAGCTTCATCTTAATTCAAGGCAGTGTATTGCCTTGGTGTCGCTGAGGACAGGAGGCAGTAGCAGATGTTTTGGAAGGGGGTAAGCCTTTCATGAGTTTCTTGAAAAGGAATTTTAGATCTTTGCCATTGCTGTTAGTAAAACAGTGTTATGAAAGTAACATCAGAAATGTGTTATTAATCCTAAGTGTTGCCTGGTGAAAACTTATGGTTACAGCAGGTCTGCTCAGCTGGCAGGGCAGCCAGCCAAAGATATGGAGGAAGGGAGAGGTGGGCAGGGAGTCTGCACAGCAAAAGGAGGGGAAGAGACAAGGGAAAGCAGGGAGCTGTGAGGAGGGAAAGCTTTGCAAAGGATCTGCCTGAAGGAAGGGAAATGGGAGCTGTTGAACTTGAATCTTTCCCAGGACCCAGACAAACCAACAGTAACCACATGTTTGTGATGTAGGCATCGTGCTGCTTCGGCAGGGCAGGGCTGGGTTTGTTTTGAACTCGCTGCAGTGTTTCTGTACTGTGCCATATGCAGCTTTCTTTTAAGTTTAACCTTTGTCTTTGACTTACAGTGTTCAGAGCACTTGACTTTGGCACACTTAACATCTCTTCGGTGTGTTTTAAGGTGCTCATCTTCTCTCAGCCCTTAGTGAATTTTAAGTTAAGATTAAGTTAAGATTTTGAATTACTGCAGCAGCACTTTTAAGAAGGAAGGCAACAGATGGAAAAGGGTGTTTGTTTGTCCCCACTCCTGCATGTTGAGGTATAAGTCTGTGTCCATGCTCTGTGGTCACGGCCTTGGAAACAAAGGAATTGTAAGTGTATCGATTGAATGATGTCTTATCTGGAAACAAAACAAAACTCTGAGATGAAAAGGAGTTTGTAAGAGATCTCAGTCTGCAGAAAGGACTGAGGGATACTCCAGCTTAGTCATTCAAAGCTAGCCACCTCCCCTTGGAAAAGGCTTGAGCCAACAGCCTGACTCCCTCCTCTAACTGGAATCTTGTAAATAATTTGCCAGTTGGACCAATTAAAAAAGTAGAGGAAGGAAAATTACAAGTCTAGCTTTAGTACCCATTGGTTCAAATATTAACACTCACCAGCTTTGAAATATTTACTAGCTGAGCATTTTTTTTAGCAGTGATTAATGAGTAAGAATTCACTGTGTTTGTGGGGAGAATGTGTGTGTGTTCTACCATGTTTCTTTTCTTGGAGTGGGAACTGAGTGCTTACTACAGCTCCAAGGTGAATGACATTTCTGCAGGAAGATGGGGTTGTATATGTGTGTTCAGACATGTTTATTCTCCATATTTGATCTGACCCTCAGTTAAATGGCCAAGCACGCCACATGTTTACTCTGCATCGGAGGCTGTTGGCTCTGTTCCTTCCCTGTCATTAATGCAAACCCAGACCTCATCGGCTCTGAACATGGAAATATCTGTCTGTCCTCCTGTGATCAATACTGTCCCTTCAGAGGTTCAGCTTTGGAAGCAGTTCCATAAAATATCAGTTATTTTTATTTGGATTTGATAAATTTAATTAGTTGGAGCAATTAATAATTTATTTGTTTTGTATTGATCGCACTCCAAGGCATCCTGGCATCAATCTGATGGAGATCAGCACACCCTTATTAAGTAGGGAAGTTTATGTTTTCAGATCTGAACATCCCATGGATTAGTTAGCTGAGATGTGCTTGTTGCTTCTGCTGGCAATTTTTCATCAGCAAAGTTGTAATGTTTTGCACTCTACAAGAGAGTAATTTCCATGGGGAGCCTGACAGAGGTGTGGAAGCAAAGCAGTAGTCTCATTTCTGTGAATAAAAGTTCCGAACAAATGATGCAGGCTGGAGCAAATTCATGTTGTGGCATTGCTGTCTATTTGTTGTATTATGAGCCCTTTAATTAGGGGCAAGAGAGTGCTGGTGCATTTCCTAATTAAACTCCTGCCTGCAGAGAATGAAAGAACATGAAAATATTGGTGTATTTATTTTTAAAGAGAACAGCAAAGGATACAAAATCTTGAATGAACTAGAAAAGGTGAATCCAACACTTTTCTTCCTTCATTCTCATTCTTAGCTAAACTGAAAGGCAGTTAATGTTAAATTGCTGAAAGAAAATGCATCCATCACCTTTTTTGTGGAGCTCTTTGGTGTGACAGGGCATCTGGACCAAAGTCTTAGTAGGCTCTGGGGTATAAGGAGAACACTCTGGCTACAGTAATGGGGCCTTTTAAAGTAAGTTGTAGTTCTGGAAAGGACGCTCCATGTTGTTGCTGCTGCTTCTGTTGAATCATCAGATACCAAACAGTGTCTGTGCAGTATGAGGGCTTGGGGACCTTTGTCTGCCAGTCCTGGACTGATGTGAGATGGTTTT